CTCGTCGAGCATGATAAGCACCCTTAAAAGTATGACGTCACAAAGAAATGATAGCGTTTTTCCCATTCAGTGCACAATCTGCTGTACTGGGTGTGCGTCATATGGCGCGATCCCATTGGCATTGGAGCGCACAGGCCGTAATTACCACATCCTGCTGTGGCCGGACAACTCGTCCGCGCAACACATTCTGTTCCGTTCCTCTTGCCTTGGCATCAGGCCAACGAAGCTACCCACTCTTTTTTTAGATCTTTGGGACTCAGCGAGATTTTTGAGGGCCCAAATTATCACATCGATCAATTGCTGAAGTCTAGCAGCTGTGTGATACGGACGAGTTGTCCTGGATACTGTGCGCTCTAATGCCAATGGGATCGCGCCATATGACCGCCTACCCTGTACTCATTTTTCTATCGCGCTATTTCAATTCCTTGATACTGCCACGATATTGTACCCACTTTTGGACCAAATGCTGCTTTTACCGTGCGGACCACGGGAAAAACGCGGCGATAGCATTGTTCAAAACAGAGGATGAAGTGGCGAAGTAACAGCTCACGATAATGAAGTTGGAGGTGCAGAATTGACTTATAAGAACATGACCGTTAGGGAGCTCTTAAACTGACCCCCCTTTTCGCTTTGGGAAGAGGAAGATCCGTGCCAGGATCTGAATCTGCTGACTTCATGCGAGCCATAAACACTCGCGTATTTAAAGTGGCCGCTGCGCCGTAATCCACGTGCTAGAGGTCGAGCACGAGGATCTTGTCCTTTGCTAACTTCGGAAGACTCTAGCGTCTTTGTGCACTCTTGAGCCGCGACAATGGCCCTTCTGTAGAACTCGCGGACAGCTCTATCCTACTCACGGAACACAGTGACATGACCTTATCGTGGGTTGCTGCTTTTAGTGAATTTTGAATTCTATGTCAAACTAGAGATTGCTCACGTATTGCTGTCTCCATGTTCCTTTTCGTGAAGGAGTTTTCCTCGATGATCGACTGGCCCTTGATCGAGCTCTTGAAGATCGACTGGCTCTCGATCTAGGTTTCCTCCTCCTGGACGCCGATCTCCGCCTTCTACTTTGACTTCGCCGCGAGCTAAACATATTTTAATTTGATACTCATAGGGAGAAAATTTTATCGAACATAACTGCTGCATCTGAGCAAATCTGATTCATTTGCTCATCGATAATTCTAGTATACAGATTTGCATCTGAGAAACGGAGATGGGCTTGGGGGGGGGGGGGGGGCGGACAACCCACGTAACATCACATCAAGACCACGGAAACATCCAGTTCCAAGACTAAACTTTTGAGGGGGTGTGTTTCTTGCATTCTCCGATGTCGTCCTGCTGTCTAGGCTCGTTAGTCATAGAAGGCTTCTTACGAGTGCCTCCCCCCTCCTGAGCCTTATTGCGCCCAGAGATGTCTTCCTGGTAGGATTTCGAATTGCGACAAAAGTTCTTATAGCATAGTCATGAACTCAAAATTCGAACATTGGTTTTATCAACTAGACTCGTAAGCCAAAATTTTGTGATATCGACAGTGAGACCGTTTGATGTCTAAACAAGGGAGGTCTTTCAGGGCAAGCCACGCTTTTTCAAAACGGTTTCTTGCATATTGTAGGGATGCATGTAGGGAACACAAAACCATGTTTCATTTTCGCTGAACGGTAGCAGTACCAAAAAAGAAGCATAAGGTACTGTGATTGGTTCGATCCCCGTGCGACTAAATTTTGCATTTGGGTTGGCGCCTTCGAATTGGTGCCAAATCGCGCTAAATGTCAAATCAGGTGTCATATCATCGTCAGGACCATTTTGAAGCCAACAAGTGGCCGCCAACCTTGATTGCAAAATTTAGTCGCCGCGGGGGATCGAACCATCAAGGGTATCATTCACCACTTTTTTGATACTACTAAAACCGTTCAGCGAAAACGAAACATGGTTTTGTGGTCCATACATGCGTCCCTACAATATGCAAGAAACCGTTTCCAAAAAGCGCGGCTTGCCCTGAAAGACCTCCCTTGTAAGAAAGCAGGCTTGTGTGGTTAATCGTCCCATGGTGAACAAGAAAGGTACTAATTTTCTCAAGAATCCTTGAAGTCTTCCCGGAACTTTTTCATTGATCGTGCTGACACAGAAGATATTTTGTACTACATCATTGCCTATGCACGACCAACCGCCACTTTCACATTTTTCCCAAAAATTTTGCGGCCCATTCCCCGCCCCCCCCTTCCCCCTTTAATTGGTCGATCGATGCACCCCACAGTCACCACTAGTCTTGGAAGTTCCGCCAATACAATCCCTCCTCGCTTTCCGGCCACCACCCCCAGATAAGGCTGTTTCGCTCCATAGCTGTTTCCATAGTATTTGACTTCACCATTTTTGCCTAATTCTCACTAGTTTCGTAAAACCTTCACTAAACCCACAAGCAGCTTCCAGCGACTCGTCGGCTCCTTCCTCAGGCGGTGATAGCCTTAGTAAAATCCCAAAATGTGACCCCTCATCCCGACCCTTCGTTTGAATAATGCGAACGGACGGCTGACACTGTACCCATCATAGGCTACAGTATGTGAGCCATCGCACTCGCACAGTATTTTGGGCGGAGTCTGTGTCGGTGGGCGGGGCTCCTAATGCGCGGCGTGATAGGTTTCGCTTCAGCGGTATTGACCGCTAACAAACGCGTAGGTCTTCAGTTTGATAAAAATCGTATTTATGGTAATTTCACTGTGAAATTCTCTAGGAAAATGTAGTACTAGATAATTATACTGTAGTTACCGTTTCGATGGAGCTCGATCTGTGCCCTGTGGTTGCAGGCGTTGCCCCCTCCCAAGGCATCCTTTCCCTCAATCTCCACGGTTTGGGAGGGTCTGACCTATCATCCAAACACCGACGTTTGGATTCGGCTCTTACGCCTGAATCCTTGACAACCACACTCGACATATCATACGCATCCTCATACAGGTGCTTTCAGCGGCATGTTTATCCAGAGCGCGGAACCGTGCACCGTTCTGTTCACTATACGTTAAATCTCGCTTTGCTACGCGGGTTCCAGCGTTTCGCTCGCGCGTCTTCCTCTTAGCAACGTTGATGTTCGAGCCTATCACACATTCAGGACACTCTACATCTTCACAAGGGCACATTTTGAAGCTCCGTCGTGATGATCTGGTGGAAATCGTGCCCGAACGTTTACTGGGATATTCGCGGGGACACGGCTCACGGGCAGTTGCGGTTCCTTTCTTTGATGGACTGTTCTTGAGGAAGTTTTCCCGAACATGTCACAGAACGTGGGTTCTGCTGTCGCACTGAACTTTCTGGGCAGGTGCAAACACTGCTCGTGTCGCTGCAATGCGCTGCGCCCGTCGGCTGTTCGTCAGTTCCCACAGCTACAGTGACAGTTTCAGGCCTGAAGCAGAAAATTGGATCATATTAGGCCGTTCTAGAAGCTTACCACTTTTCCAAAGTGATACGAAGGTTTTCAAAAAACTGACTTGCTAGCAGAACCGATCATCGTACCAGTATCCGGGCATGTACAAGCGTTAAGACATGCGTGTTCGGCTAGTGCTGCGGTGTGTCGTTTGGACCTGTCGTGATAAATCTTTATACCGGCGCTTTTATGTTCTATTTTCACGTGAAAAATGAAACAAAGGTGCACTGACTGGACCAAAGGAAGCGGTCGCTGTCTGTCCTGTGAGGCCAAGTTTTAATACGCCATCGTTGATGCGGCGTTGTCATTAGGTCATTGGGCCGCCCCTCCACCCTTTCCACCAATGGCGATGCCCGCCCACCGATAACGTCTAGAGCTCTTGCCCGCCTCTCAGCCAGCACGATCGTTTCTCTCAACATATTGGCGACAGCGCGAGGCACGCGCTATTCGCGCGCCACAAACGGCTGTTCGTCCCTTTTACTAAAGAGCTTATAACACGCCCCTAGATTGCTAAAAGCATAAAATCCAATTCGATAAACTCTTACAAGTTTTGTAATGTTGAAGCAAAAGTTATGTCGGTCTCTGCATGAGGTTGTTCCTGCGGTTTTCGAGGAAGCCCTATGTAGGGTGGTTCAGTGGTGTGTGTGTGTGGCGGAGGACGAGGAGAAGGCAACTTCTTTATTAGATGGTAGTATCACGAGTACGTGGTTCGGGGCAACGTTCTCGTCTCGAAGACTTGGAGGCGGGGCAAGAGGGGAAAGGGTGCATGTGACGAATGACAAGCCCCTTCACGAAAACATTTCATCAACCCAGTGCCACTGTGGGACTATTCTCAACGCAGGGTTTTCGTGAGAGTAGAAGAATTTCTACCGCACAATAGAGGAGTTCAAAAATTCCCTATTTCGCAGCATTCATGGTTGGTCGGGCTACTTGAACTTTCTTCTATGGTCCTGCCACAAATGCACAGACAATTAGGGAGCGGCGCCTGGTTTGGCTCCGAGTTCGAGGTGAGGACCTTGGGCTAGGCTTTGGTTTGGGGAGGGCTTCCAAGGTGGGCAATTACAGTGGCAGCAAAAGTTTGAACGTGTGAGATGACATGGTCATCAACACACGTTCAAACTTACCTTAAAGCGAGAAATTACGATAAAATTTCTGTGCAGCATGGAAGAACGAGCAGCACTTCAAGCAGTAGCTAGAGCCCAAAGGAATCGAGATGTGGCCTTTTTGTGACTAAAGGTGCGCTCGTTGCAGCGCCCTGGGGCTGCCAATCCTTTCTGAGCTCCGCCTCCGCCTGTGCTCCGCCCCTCAGCAGATCGCTGTTCGATTATCATTCTGATAAGGTATGCCACTTCGAGCGCGTATCCAATTTTTTTCTCATGGGAATGCTATATCAATCAAGGTATGATCTCTGGTGGTATGATGGCAGCTATGGTTTAACGAGTGCCGACGACCTCTTAGTTGGTTGCCAACTCGTCCATTATCGGAGGTCAACGGGCAGAGGAAGTGGTCCCATTTTGCGCGTTTTTGACGGATTTCTTTGCTTTTTTCGCTACTAGGGCATTATTCAGCATCTTCACTTCCACTATGAGCACAACAGAATCCTATCGCAATCTCTCGCTTTAAAGCAAAAGGCGCAGACAAGAGCATCCGATCGACGCGTTTTAAAGGACCAAGTTCAAGTAGTCCGTCCACCGGCTTGGTATATCACCTACGGTTCCAACTCTGGCACGTGACGACGAAATAGTAACTGCCCTTGGACTACACCAACCACAGCCCTAGGCGATGTCAGACTTTGCGAATCGCGCGATTCGCGGTCGCGTTGCGGTACCAGCCGATTGAGTGATCCACCTAGCCGCGACGCAACCGCAGACGCTGGAGAATCGCGCGATTCGCAAAGCCTGTTGAGGAAGCAGACGAAGCAGAGCGTCCGTGCCACGCGTGGTCCCCCCTCCCCCCACCTAAGTTGCATCCCGGTTATTCCTCGAAGGAAGCTAAGAAGACTTCTTACGCAATAGAGGAGGTTCACAAAATTTTTCAGTTTTATACTGTCACAAATGCCTGGCGTTCATTCTGGCGTATCGTAGTGTGTCACGTAGCTACTGATGTACTTAGCAACACTGTTGACACCATAACGCGATGTGAGTATGTCATGGAAAGGGAGGAGAAAAAAAGGGTCTGACAGGATCTGAAAATAAATCGCTGTCACGGTTGAACATGCTAATTGTCCACATCCCGAGAACTTCCCTAGGAAAGGTCGTGCACATTTTGTGCCTCTTCGCATTTGTCTCAAATGAAGTCTACGAGGGGTGAAGGCACAAGTATGTTGTGATGGGCGATTTAACAGCCCAGGGCAGGGAACGAAAAGCAAACCTTTTGAACCAATCAACTAATGATTTGAATATGATTGAAACCGCATCACTTTTTGCTTTTGACCAAAATAATCCGATTCTGATCTTGAAACTTGACTCACTGAGCGATGCAATGTTGTTCATCTGGATGTTTCAAGTCGACATTCATAAGGGCAACCGATACAACGGTGGCAACTATAATGTTTAAAGGCAGAGATCACAATGCTTCCGATGGTGATCAAATATGAAAGCAGGGGTGCCATATGGTGCGGTAGTGAAATAAAAGCTCAGATAAACCACTAAAACACCAGGGTTGGGACCATTACTCCGGCTAAAGAGCACTCCGGCCTATTAAAGCAGCAGTTACGCTGAAATCGCTGAATCGTCTGCAGAAGTGTCCTATATACTCACGATGATACCTGTGACGTCGAAATACTTTTCTTCAAAAAAAGAAAATTCGACGTGTGTAATTACGAAGTACAAATCTCTAACAACTACATTGGGGGCGGAGTCATCCTGAAAAGGGCGTCGGTCTGGGATTTGCAGGCCTCATGCTTGCATTTAGGCACAATTACGGTTAGCGCAAATTTATACATTACACAGCCTTTAGGCGAAGCAAAACCTGGAACCGTTTTATTAGCTGCTGGCTTAACCAACCGCTCTTATTTCCCGGGGAACCTCTGGAACCAGCCGACGGGAGTGGGAGATCGGAGGAATGGATATTGTCTCACTCATTTGGAGTCTCTCCTGCTTCTGCCTGCAGGCTTAATGCCGATCCAAGGAAAACAGATATTGACGGGCCGACCATTGCTACACACATGCCTCTGCGATCTCTGCGATAGTGCCGTCACTCAAAGGAGGAGTCTGGAAGTGGCTGATTTTCTACGATCGCTGCGCGTTTTTTGAGAATCGCAGAACCTGCCGAAATAGACTCTACACCTGGCAGACTTGATTTAGTGCCCTCAATTCATCGCAAGAAAGTCAGAGTAGGGCGATAGTGGTTTTTCAATGAGGTGGTCTTAAGGTCTCGTCTTCAATTCTTTCGATCACTGCGCACCCAATCGCCGATCCTTGCGTTCTTGCGGCTACGGCGCGTCGCTCATATTGGAGCGTTTTATCACCCGTGAACGATTTGATGGCCAACTCCGGGCGGGCCATCCGGGTTGGCCACCAACCGTTGTCCATTTTTCAAATGTAGGGTGCTATCGCAAGATACGGGGGCATTGTGGTGACAACGCGCTCAAGACCGTGCAGGACGTGTGCTTTTGTTAAAACGAGACTAATCGCAAGCCTCAGGCTGCGTGAGACATTTCCGTTTTTCTCGAAGTTCCTGCCCCCTCCTGGGCTTAATCTGAGCGAATGCCCCGTATATTGCGACAGCGCCTGGCTCACTCACTTTCATGCATTCCCCCCCCACTCCACCCAACGATATGAGCGCCCGCGTTCATTCCCAGCGGTTTGAAAGATTAGAATGTTGGGAGTTCAGCTGAAAAGACTAGATAGAAATCGATTTTTCCGACTGGAGACTTCTAATCTCCTATTCGCGCAGTCAATACGCACCCAATCTTTTCCAGCTAAATCTGTTTATCCACTTATCTTCCCATACAACAAGCATGATAGCGATTCGAGCACTCCACTCTGGCTATCACTCCATTTCAATGAAGCATTACTCCTCCATTTTGAAGCACCTAACGGCATGACCGGTACTCTCTGTGGGAAGTTACTGTATGAATTGAGGATGGCAACTTTTTATCTTTTGGGTGCCGCTTTAAGGCAGCGCATATGAAAAATCAATATCGATTGGCGCGCGCGCAATCTGAGGCTAGTAAGTCTGACTGTATACATAATTGACTCACTGAAATGTGGTGCCAGCTTAGGCAAGCATGCAGCGCGAGTTGGTGTTTTTAGTTTTCTGATAACTATAGCCTGGCTTCTTCATGGATCGCTGAAAGTAGCCTGGCGCAAGTATACGAGGAATTACCGGCGGTCAAAGCATTGACTGAATTGCCGCCGAATAATTACGTTTTTGTGACCGTGAATTAACTAGCCAAGGGGGGGGTGAGTGGAGCAATTTTTGACTGCGCCAGCAATTTTCTTTTCTCAGACG